CGCTTATGCGAGGAAGTACGGTCATGTTATGGTAAAATTATTTACTGTTGCTTTAAAATTTTGCAAACCAATCGGATCTTCATTTTTACTATCATGAAATCGTAATCGATAGAAAAAGAAGCTAAGAAAATAAACTCATCGTATAAATCAGTTGAGGAGATTCTCGAGCTCAAGACCCAAAGAATCATTCACTCTTAGATCGTCTGATATCTCATTGCCTGGAATTACTGAAACGATAAGTATTTTTAATTTTCATTTGGAAAGTAGATTCCTGCGTATCAATCCTTCTTTGTTAGCAGAATGTTATGGGTGCACATATTTTTACAAATCAAAGGCGGACAATCTGCAATAGAATAAACCCGCAAAATATTGATGCCATTCACTAAAGAGAATTAGTGGTAATGCCATTTAAAAACTATTTGGAAAACGTGGTACCATTTCACTCCCTGATTTGAACAATTCAATGACCAAGCAGACAAATAAAGATGCGTTTGAAATGTTTTTTATATCTTTGGGAAAAATTGTTATGTTCCATTGGAAAGAATACGAATAAAGTCTCGCGTAGACGAATATTAGGATTCAATTTTTTACTTTATTTTTATCAGTCCCAAGACTTTGTCAAATCGATATTAATTTTTGGTTAAATTTCCGGGCTTTCATTCTATTTCAAACTTGACTCAAGAGGTTGTGTTCGTTGAATAATCTTAACTCGTGAATTGAAAGCTCTTGACGTAAGATTATCCAAAATAAACAAACGTTGCACGATGCTTTAAAAGCAAAATCCAGTTAAACCAATCAAATCTCGTATCATCTGTTATCCACAAAGTCTGGTTTCGTTGAACACGAAAAATGAGCCGATGATTTCTTGAACGAAGATGTTTTTAAACATTAAAGTAAACAGTTTCTCGAGTTCATATTCTTATATATATATACATACATATGTGAACAAATTTAATCACATATGGAGGGACTTTGTAACATTACATTCCCCTACGGGCCAATATCACTCACCTGGCCGTATGGTCTAAACACGCCACAGATAATTCCCTCGTGCTTTCGGTCACTTTTCACCGCAGATACTCAGATTATTGCCGAAAGAAGATGAAGAAAATTATCGGAACGGAAAAGAGCTTGAGGCACAAACATCGTACTTAAAAAGTTTTCTGCGTAGCATCTGCTGCTAACTACCTGCTTAATGTAAAATATGTCACCTGGTCAAAGCAATTAATAGTGCATAGGGTAGTGTTTAAAGACCCCCCTCTTCCAACAATAAAATTTATGCCCTCCTCGCAAATTAAAATAGGAAATTTTCGTGTCTATGTACGTATGTCTGGCAGCCATTACCCAAATCTTTCATAATCCAAATTGCATCGTTAATTAACTTACTTTTTAAACTTTCTGTAAAAAGACACGTAGCTTGGTATTGTTGTCCACACTAGCTTACATTCTTTTACGCTCCATGTTCAGCACCAGCTGTTACATGATAAAAACATAGCCCATGTCTCTTCTACTCAAGCCATTGGACGCAGGGGAAAACGTATCTTTCGGCCACCATTTGAAATATAATCAAATTAAAATTGAAGAGGTCTGAATTTCTTTTTGAGTTACTAACACGAACTGTATAAGGGTTCAATGTGGTTACTAGGGATTCAACGAAATTTTTATGGTTGGGGTAGGACGGGCGGTGGAATATGCAACGGTGTTTCCGCGGGATCTGGGGCAAAGGCATATTCCTTCATATTTTTGTGGTATTTACATTTTGATTTCAGTTAAGGGATCATGAATTCCTCAAAGCCCAGTCACCGAGATCCATTTGCTAAACAACGAATTTGAAAATATGCTATGATTAGATTTGTGAACTCGAGATTTCTACAGTGATAGCCGATGAGGGCGAAGTCCAAACGAATTCGAACCTTCACGCATAGAGATAGAGAGAAAATACTCATGTTTTTATCTAATAATGATATAGATTGTCTGCGCAATGTGCTATTCAGTTTACCCACTAACTTTCAGGGAATATATCGCGTGTGACGTAGCCAATGATACGGAAGCTGAAAAGGGACAATCCAAAAATATTTTTCAAATCCCGAAAAATATTTCAAATCGCAATATTTATTTTAAACTCACTGTCGAAAAGTTTGACAAATCCAAAGATATTTTGCAAATCCAAAAAAATATTTAGAAATCCAAAAAAATTTTTTCAAAATCCGAAAATATTTTGC